AACACCAAGTCAAGGGTTAAGATCCCCTTACCGGTCATCTTTTAAAAAAAAAAAAAAAGAAAGAAAAATAGGATTAAAAGATAATACGAATCTTACCATGAACTCTTTGAAGTACCCTCATACTTAAATCCCATTATCCCTTTTATCTCATTAGAAACTTAGGACTCAGAAAGGTTAAGTAACTGGCCCAGGGTGCTCAGCTCCTAGAAAGCTGTCATGGGATGATACCAGTTACACCACAGGTCGCCATCGTGAATCAGAGTATACTGTGCTCTCTACGTCAGTTACCTCCACTGCTCTCCACAATACACAGGGAGGGGTTAGAACCCATTTTATAGGTGAAGAAATTGATGCTCACAGGCTAAATAATTCCCACAAGATTCCAAGCTCAATAAAAACCAACAAACCAGCAACAACAATAAATAAGATAGAGAGCTACAACTGGAACATCATGCTGTCTTCTAACTTCAAATCTTTCACCTAAACTCTTCCTCCATGTTTCTTAAATCCCCACTAACATCTAGAAGGGAAAGTTCATGGAATTGCAACATGACAAAGAAGCAAATCAGCCTTCCTACCGCCATCCTGACTATCAACATCCAAATGAGGACAGCGCAGCCAAAAGGACTGATATCAGAACACAGGAAAGACTTCCCAAGTGCCAAGTAGCTGGGCAACGCCAGGACAAAAAGCACAGGGTTCTTTCAGTTTTCTGATCCAAGGATGGGAGGTCAACCAGAGTAGAGACAGGGGATTGGTCTGCATGATCTTAATAATAACATTAATAAAGCTAATATATGATAAGGTACATTGTACCAGACCCTTTGCTAAGTGCTATACCTTCATATAAGGTTGAATCTTCACAATATCCACATGATACAGTTTTACAGAGAAGGAAACTAAGGTTTGGGGAGATTAAGTCACACAATTAGTAAGCAGTAGAGCTGGGATTGAAACCCAAGCAGCCCAACTCCAGAGCACTCCTTTTATTTTATTTCATTTTATATTTTGGCAGCTGGCCAGTACAGGGATCAAACCCTGGACCCTGGTGTTGTCAGCACCATGCTCTAATCAACTGAGCTAACCAGCCAGCCCCAGAGTACTCCTTTTAAACCATGCTGTCTCCACCAGGGTGAGGCTCCTGCACCCACCTTTGGAGAGGTGATCTTGATGTAAACAATGATCGGGGCCAGCGAAGTCTTGGAGAGCTGGGCTGGGTGGTTGATGGTGTCAGCATCCAGAGCAACCAACTGAAGGGTCCGGGCCAGCTCGAAGATTCGCTCAATCTCACTCTGCACCTCAGCTGGGGGGCATGGAGTCGTGGGGAAGGGGGAATGTAAGGCGGTCCCCAGGAGGCGGTGGGTAGAGGGAAGACTTATGGAGACAGTCCCGCCACCACCTCCCATCCTTCCCACATCTGACCCAGAAAAAGGGGGTGAAGAAGGCAGGGGTGGACTCACCTAGGCTGGAACGTGTGTTGGAGCGCTCAATAATGATGTGCTTGCTGGGGTTGTTGAGGACTGACCGCTTAGCCAGGGAAATATCTGCCGTCACACGAGTGATAGAGATCCTGGGGGATGGGCCATGGCAGACAGTCAGGGGTCAGGGTGGGCTAGAATGCTCTGCCCACTCCCTAGACTCCAGGCCTGCCTCCTGTCCCTCAGTCCCAGAGTCCCAGCATTGTCACTCGAAGGCATTCTGCCCACCTCCTACAGCAGAGAGCCATGGGGGAGTAGAAAGCCAGCTCCCAGGGTCTTACCTGCCATCAAATCGATGCTTCAAGAAGTCAAATAAAGCTTTCTGCATCATGTCTGTAACCTGGGGTTGGGAAGTCAGGCATTTAAAACCATTCGGTGGAGGGCTGCTGGGTATTTGCACCCTCCCTTGCCTCCTTCTTTGGAAATTCCTGAGAAAAATGGGCCTTTATATGGCAGGGGGGACTTACTTCTGGGTCTAAGGGGCTTCCAGTATGGTCTCTGATTCCAAAGGTCCTTCTAAGTTGTATTTCTGGGAGGGCTCTTCAGGGGGTTTCTTTGGGGGACTTTGCCCTCCTAAATGCATCTCCCTGTGGGTCAGGCCCCTGTGGGGATTTTCTCTGAAGGTCTGTAGCCCTCTAGGGAGAATACCCTAGGAATCTGGGATCTTCTAGGGATCTCTCTGGGGTCTGAAGACTTTTCTATGGAGTCTCTCTCGATGTCTGGGCCCTTCTGGATCCACTCCCCTCTAGGAGCTCCTACCTCATAGCCCTTGAGCGACGGTCCCACCAGGATGATGGGCCTCATGGAAGGCACCACGTCATAGGGGGGCACATGCTCTGTCTGGGGGGGGAAGCAGGAAGGGGAAACCCCCAGAGTGGAGATGGCATTAGCCCCTCTCCCCCAACCTCCAGGCTCCCCCATGCATCCTTTCCTCCCCCTGGTCCCAGAGCCCAGATGTGGGGACTAAAGTGAGGGTGGGGAGGGATAGCCAGGGAAAACCAGGAAGGGTGCAGGATATTGGGGGCAGATATGGGAACATGCGTTAGAAGGTCCCCCTAGCTCATCCCGGGGGGTGGGGAGGGGGACACAGAAAGCTGTGATACTCACCGACTTCTGCTTCTGTTTGGCTGGGTCCAGAGATTGCCAAGAGAGGGGAGAGGGAAGAGAGGGGGGAGGGTACCCAGGCAGGGGCAGAGGGCAAGAAAGGAGCCAGGACAAGAGAGGGAGGGAGAGCGGGCAGACGAGGAGAGATAACAGGGCATGCGTGTTAGTGACAGACAGAGCCAGAGAGAGGAGATGGGACCCCACGCCAAGGGGGAGCCAGAGATAGCCCTGACTCAGGGCTGGGAGCAGAACTGACAGTTGGTCCAGTGGACTTGGAAATATTCAGACATACCCCACCCCCTTTCTGGGTCTGGGAAAAGAGCTGGGGAGGGTGACAGCCCCTTATTTGGTGCCCATCTCCCACCCCCAGCAGGAAATGGGTCCAACCTGCCCATTTTAAGGGTTCCCTTAACTGTCTTGCTCTGCAGCCAGTAGACCCCTCCATGTGCCCAGGCATGGAGTTGGAAAAGGGTAAAGAAAGAATGCCATTCCACTCCACACTTCACATGCCGGGGTGAGGGCAAAAACTGGAATATTCCATTGGTAGTGAGGGGAAAGGTCAGGTTTTATTACCCCCAGACCCTGCTTCCTCAGGATGGGGCAGCCTTCCAAGGGCAAGAACCATCCCTTCCCTGGGAAGCAGGCCAGGGTAGGTTTGTGTATGGAGATGGATGTGCCTATTCTACCCTTTCCTCCACTTTGGCAGGAAGGCCTAATAGCTGGTACCACACCTGGATCCACTCCAGCCCCCTTCCCCCCACCACAGAGCTGGGCCCTGACTCTACCCCCCTGCAAGAACCCAGCAAGGATTACCTTCTTAAAGAAGGGGATGCGTTTGCCGTGGGGTGGCGGGGTGGTGACACTGCTAACACTAGTCTTGGCAGAGCCGCAGTGCTCACCAAGCTCTGCCTCCTCCTCCTCTAAATCTAGGGGATCTAGTTCAAAGGCTAAGTTAGTCATTTCATTACCTGGACCGGAGAGGCAGGAGAGAGGGAGGAAGGAGGCGAGGTGGGGAGAAGGAGTGAGATGGACATGGAGACACAAGTACAGAACGCAGGGATGGGGATGGGGAAAAAAGAAAGAAGAAGAGGTGAATGGAACAGGGCTGGGAGAAATGAATGGGGGAGGGGCACAGGGGAGGCAGGCAGAGAGATGGAGCTACCAAAGAAAGGGGAGAGGAGAGACATAACAGGCCCAGCTTGTGGGGTATCCTACTCTTCATGGAGGGGACACCACTGAATGGGTTTGGGGGACTCAGGATTGGGGTGCCTCCTACTGCAGGGAAAGGAGGGGTCAGGTGGTAGAGAGACCACCCCATCCAGGAGCTTGCCCCACCCCCTGGGATGGAGACAGCTCTTACCACTGGCAGGGGGTGTGGGGCGGCGGGTGCCAGTCACCACGTCTCCCAGACTGGAACTGGAGTTGTCGCCTGATTTGCTGTGTGGGCAGAGAGGCAAATCGAGCTGTGAGCAAAGGGGTGGGGGCGGGGAACGTGTCATCTCACATGCTGCACACCTGGAGGTCCTCTAGCCCTACTGGTGATGCCTTGGGCAGCTCTGTGCCCTTAGGGCGGGGGTCACCCTCACAAATCGAGCTGTGAGCAAAGGGGTGGGGGCGGGGAACGTGTCATCTCACATGCTGCACACCCGGAGGTCCTCTAGCCCTACTGGTGATGCCTTGGGCAGCTCTGTGCCCTTAGGGCGGGGGTCACCCTCGAGCCCTAGTCCTGGCTTGATGGTTTCCCTGTGGTTGGGAGTGCCTGCCCCCACCCTCAGCCAGACACCTGGAGCTGAGGCGATTCTGGCGCAGCTTCTGTTCCTGCAGCAGGCGCAGGCTGTCCAGTTTGACAGGGCTGGGGATGAAGCCAACCTCACAGCCCTCCTTCACCAGCCGCCCGATCCACCAGTCGTTATTGTATTTCTGTGAACAAGGCAGGTGGGGTGACAGAGACCAAGAGGGTAACTGGAGGTGCAAGCCAACAGTCACCATCCAGGGGAACCCACTCCAAATTTGGCTACCCTGCACAGGAGTGGCACCCTCAAAAAGTCCCCCAACCCCTCAGCTCCTGCCACTGAGTATAGCCCCCAGTTTTCGGGACAGCTCCAGAACCAGCATCCTCTCTGGCCATGAACCACCTCTCCCCCAGCACATCCCCATTCTGAGAACCATTCCTCTCCCCATGTGCCCACCCTACTCCAGAAAGGCAGCAGGAGTAAATACTGACGCCTACATGTCCCTGACATACTGCCACTCCAGTTCGGGCCTCATGATAAACCCTCCCATCAACCTTGTGACCTAGGCATTACCACCCCATTTTACCAATGTAAATGAAAATGGTACTAAATGGCTCAGAGAGGTGGAGAGATTTATCTAAGGTCACAGAGCAAATTCAGCCTAGCGTTGCTGGGCTGAGAGGCCATTTTTTCCACCAGAGCTCTGGCTGCCCCTTCCTGGCACCACTCTCCTGCACTCCCTCCAGATGCCAGCACTCTCCCCACCTCCTTGATGTGCAGGAAGTCCTTGGGCTCGAAGGTGATGGCCACTCCCTGCACAGGCACCTCATCCCCTGGAGTTGGATTGTAGCCGACATTTGTCCGCACAGCAAATGCCACTGGCTTGGTCTAAAGAAGGCACATGGGGGAGGATGACAACCAGAGGGTTAAACTACAATGTCATGTACAATTTCCTGATAGGGGTGGTGTTTACATAGATGCCTGCTTTGTCAATTGTGTATTAAAATGTGTACTGAACGGTTTATGTGGTCTTCTGTATGTATATTAACTATTACAATTTTATTTATTGATTGATTGATTTTTGTGAGGATCATAACCCTTGGCTTGGTGTCGCCTGCACTGCGCTCAGCCAGGGAACGCACCGGCCATCCCTATATAGGATCCGAACCTGCAGCCTCGGCACTCCCAGCGCCGCACTCTCCCGAGTGAGCCACGTGGTCAGCCCTAACTATTACAATTTTAAAAAAAAAAGCAAAAAATGGAATTTAGCCCTGTCAGGGTAGAGGGAGGCATTGGGAATGATAAGTATTGGTGGTGTGGGAGCCCAGAAAGACACCAAGAAGAAAAAACTAATATAAATAAAAAAATATATAAAATATAAATATAAAAACTAAAAAAAAAGATAATAATGATAATAATGACAATAACAGTAGCTATAATTTAGTGTGCCAGGTACTGTTACTTGCTTCACGTGCATTATTTCCTTTATTCATCACAAAAATCCGATGAAGTTAAGTAGTGTGATTATCTTCATTCTAATGAATAAGGAGACTAAAGTTCAGAAAAGTTAAGGGACTTGCCTAAGATCACACAGCTATTAAGAGTAAGGGCTGGGCTTAGCTCAGCTGGTTAGAGCTTGGTGTTATAACACCAAGGTCAAAGGTTGGGATCCCTGTACTGGCCAGCCACCAAAAAAAAAAAAAAAGAAGAAAACATTTAGCACTTATCAAGCTCCCACTATGTGTAGAAATAGCATTAGGAATTATTATACTGTATATGGAGGCAGGCATTACAGTCCACATTGTACAGGTGAAGGACAGAGGCACATTGAGGTCTAGGGTACACAGCTAGGAAGTGGCTGGGCCAGGACTTGACCCTGGGTCTGTCCAGCCTCTATCTAAGGCCTGGGGATGGGGGAAATGATGCCGGCACGGCCCCTCCCCACATCTTTCTTACCTTGGCTTTCTCAAGCTGAGCTAACGCCTGGCGCTCTGCCTCCTTCCTCAAGGCTTCCCGGTCCTCCTCCAGAGATACATCAGAGTCTGATGGCCGGCTGGTGTAGGACTCTGCTGAGCCCTGAAAGCAGACACAGACAGCTCAGGGCCAGTGCTGACTCCCCCAGCTCCTGGGCCTGGAAGGTTCCACCCATCGTGGATGTCTCAAGATCCAGCCAGCCCAGCATGAGGCCACCAGGGCTAGGTATTAGGTGGAAGGGGCCAGGGGCTGAGATTTGAGGCCCCTGGAAGAGTGTGGCCCTAGGGAGGGTGACAGCAGCAAACAGGGGGTTAAGGCAGGTCCAAGGACAGCTGCATGAGGCCCAGGGAGGGGTGGGAATCTGATAGGGACACAGCACAAGGGAGGAGTGCCAGGGGATGAGTCTCTACTGCCTGCTCCTCCTCCTCTCCCCTGTCCCCACCATGGGGCTGAGATCGACTCAGCAGAGGCCCAGTGGCGTCCCTTCCAGGGACTGCAGCTGCCAGCTTAGGCCTGAGCTCTCTGCACTATTGGTGATGGGCAGCCTGCTGAGCATGATGGGGCCACCAAGAATGTTGCTATCTTCTGCTCGAGAGTGGAGGGAGATAGACCTCCATCTTCCCTGCTCCTCTAGTTGGTCCTGCCAGAATCAGGCCACTCTACTCAGAGCTCCAACCCTCAGCTCTCATAAGATACAAGAGAACCCAAGATTCTTGGAGTGGTGCCAGCAGAAGAGGCAAGTTAAGAGCAGAATGGGGGACAGACATTTCCCCAACACTAGGGCTGCTGAGTGCCAGGGTTCAGGCATGCTCAGAAGTCTGGGTGTGCCAGGAAGCTGGTTATGACCACACTGACCAACCCAGAGCACAATGAACTCCTTTAGGGATGCACACACATGTATAAGACACATGTAGCTGGTACAGATCTCATAGTGGGAATGAACATGCTTATTCATGTGTGGGCCTAGATGTGCAGCTACAGGTGTGTTCAGGAGGGTGTGTTCTATGGTGTGCGATGGTTGTGCACGATGGAGTGTGTACGGCTACGTGAGTGCATCCAGGGGGTCACCCTGGCTGTCTGCATCCCTGGAGTGGGAGGCGTGTGAGGGCAGGAGCCAGGAAGTGTGCACTTGGGTGGGGCTGTGCAGGGGTGGAGTCAGATAAGGGGTAGGAGGTAATGTGGGGAGAGAGCAGGACTGCAGAGATGTGGGGGTTCTTTCCAGAGGGCATGAAAAGGGTCACTTGTCCATTAGCTCACTGTGGAGGGGACCTAGGAAAGAGAGGAGCCAGAGTCCCACCTCTCCCCAGAGGCCCCTGGTCATTAGCCAGGGCAGTTACCCATCCCTTTCCCAGGCAAATCATGAAAATGAGAGACTTGTCGGGGAAAGGGTGGGCGAGGGTGGGGTCACTAACAGAAGATGGAAAAGAGACACGGAAGAGGGAGAATGAAACCCAGCTTAGCTACCACTCTCCACCCCTCCTGATGGGACCACCACAGACAGGGAGACAGACATCCAGAGAGCCAGGGAGACAGACATAGAGGTAGACTAGCAGAGAGGCACCCACTGACCCCAACACACACACACCCGCATGCGCACACGCAGACACATCAGAAATGGCGGGAGACAGGAAACAGTAAGGAGGCAAGGAGACAGGCTAGACTGCAGCCCCCCACCCCCACCAGCTTTCCTGAGAGGCTGCTCTACCTACCCGCCACGCCGCCCCATCCCCAGCTCACCACCACAAGGGTCCGGCTGGGCACTTCCATCCCGGCACCTTCGGTGCCTGGCCCTGCTGGCCTAGGGGGTGGCCCAAACTGCCCGTTCCCCCAGGGGGTTCAGGTTACAAGCAGAGTTGCTACATGTGCAAACTGCTAGGGTATATTTAGCTCAGAGATGTGGCAAGGACTGCCCCTCCACTCCCCGCCACCTACTGGGGGTCAGAGCCGGGGAGCTGAGAGAAGAAAGAATTGGAGGCTGGGTTCTGGCCCCCAGGGTTGGCAAACACTAAAGGACCCAAGGCCTTTTCCACCGAGAGGGGCAACACTGTGCACAGCATCATTCTTCCAAGCCCTGGCCCTGGCCCAGTCCTGCAATAGGAGGGATGAGGGAGCAACTGAAGAAAGGATTTCCTGTCTGTTTGTGTACTTAGGAGACACTGGGATGAAGGGTCCCTTCCTGAATCTCCCAAGTCAGGCCTAGGCTTCCATGTGCCAAGTGCTGTAGAGACAGAAGAATCTCAAAGAAGGGCCTCACTCCAATCTGTGGCAGATCTGCCTGGCACCACCCTCTCTCCTGGCGCAAGGGGGGGCTCACTTCCAGGGGCTCCTCCTCCCCACTGTCCCCTGCCCTCATATGACCTGCCCATTTCCTCTTTGACACACTCCTTTTTCTGGTCTGATCCCAAGCCCCTCTTGCCTTTTTTGGGTACCAGGCTTTGTTGAGATGCTCAGTAGTCATAGCAACCACATGCCTTTCTCACTGCCTCCCCCTGAGCCTAAGATGGCACAGGGTTGAGAGTCAAAGCAGAGATGAGAGTGGCAGCTTCCTGACTGAGCACAGAAGATCCCAGAAAGCTATTCTGTTCCCCGCTTCAGTCAGGGGTGCTGGACTAAAGTCCTCTCTAAAATCAACTATTTCCTACCCACCCTCCATCACACTTTCTGCTTATTAAACACTCATATCTGGGTGTGAGGAGTGTGTTTCCCTGACCAGTACCTAACCAGGGCTCCAGGGACCCAAATGTCCTAGCTCCTCATTTCCTAGGAACTGCCTCCATCCCACCCTGTCACCGATTCTGGGGGAGGACATGGAAGCAAACAGCCAGCAGGGGAAGTGGGTGACAGCCCAAAGCAAGCTAGAAGGAGGTAGCCAGGCTGTCCCTGAATGAGATGACGCAGGCAGGCAGGCAGGCAGGTGGCAGGGGCTAGTGCCAGTGCTGGGGGAGGGCCTGGGTAGGGGCGGGGACGGAGGGAGTGGCAGCAGTTGGCAGTAGATCCTGGAGAAGTCATGGGGTGTCAGGGTGATGGGGTGGTTCCAGGCAGGTGATAAATGACATAAGGAAGGGTGTCTGGAGAAACCGTAGACCCAGCTCACCGATGCTGGCCTCAACCAACCTCCCTCCTCTCAGCCAGCCTCCCCAGTACCTGGCGGACAAAGCTGTTGGATGTTGTATCCGAGGACGTGCTCCCATCTGACCGTTTGAACCGCCCTTTCCTCTTGCTGTATTTGCCCTGGAGAAGCCAGGAAGGAACAAGAGTGGAATCAGAAAGGCCTTTTCTCAACCCTCACCCGGAGGGCCCAGAGCGTCAGCCAAGTCTTGGGAATACCATTCCTGGATCCGAACCCCCCGCCCCCATCTTCTTCCTGAGCTGGTGCAGCCAGAGGTGAGGGGAGAACTCCCATCTTCACCACAGCCACGAGTGGGAAACAGTGCAAGAGAGCCCTAGGAGCACACACAGAACCCCTAAATCCAAGCCAGAGAGGCTGGGAAGGGGGAGGCGCTGAGAAGCTGGAGGTTCGTTAGACAGCAAAGCTAATTAAGATGCTGGGCAGGCTGCAGAGGCCTCCGGGGAAGGGAGAGGCTGCCTGCAGTGCTGGGGGGTGGAGAGCCGGGAAAGTCCCCTCCTCCTCCCCTTCAGCTGGAGCAGAGGGGGCCGAATGAGCTGGTGGCCCCAGAGAGAGGTGGAATTGCCAACCCAGGGCCCAGCTCTTTGCTTTTCACAGAATGGGGAGGGGATGGCAGCTCTGCACTCTTGCAGACCCAAAGCTAGAATTCTGGGGAGAGGGGATGAGGCACGGAACTGTATTTGGAAAGTAAACAGCCAACCCCAACCCTGGCCTGGAGCCATGGGGGCAGATTTTGCTCCTCACCCCTCTCCAGGACTTTTTCTGTGCCCCTCCTCACAATCACAGTGGCCACACCCCTACCCAAGGGGGCAAGAGGGAGCAAGCTTCCACACTCTACTCCCCAACTGCCACTGCCCACGCCCCATCCAGTCCCCACCAGGCTACATCAATCTAAATGCTTCTCGGCCCCACTGCAAGTCAAGCTTGGGACACAGACCCACAGGTCCCTGGGGTAGGCTGGCTCAGTCTCGCTGACTGGGCTCCAGCTTGGGTGGAGCGGATGCTGTCTGACCACTCAGGCAGCCACACATTCACGTGAGGGCTTCAGGTCTTTCCAGGCCTCCTGTAAAGGGAGCTCTTCTTTGCCTTCCCCAACTCACATACACAAACGTGGTTTCCGCCCAGCCCAGAATAGGAGGATGACTGAGGGTTCAGACCTTCAAGGCCCTGCCCCCAGTCTCCATCCTAGACTTCCTTTGGCCAGAAAACCTAGATGAGCCACAAACAGACTGGGGGCTCTGGCTCCAGGGACCTGAGTACGAAAGGGAGAATGGATAATGGGAAAGGGGGACACCTGGGGACCCTTTGAGAATCCTCCCTCGCCTTCCCTTCTCTTAAACCAGACATATAACCAAACCCTAGTTTTGAGGCTCCCCCAGTGGGCCGCAGACTCTTTCTCACCACCACCACCTCCCCAGGCTGGACAAAGGGAGTGGCACTCAGAGGGACAGGGGACAGCTGAAAGGAAGGCCCTAGTCAGCTGCCTCCCAGGCTCCAAGGGGCCTGGGGTGGTGGAGAGAGGTATTTTTAGGTCTGACCTGACCCCCTACATACCCATCAAACACATTATCATAGTGGTTGCAGTTACTCCAGGCTGACCACAGCCATAGAAGAGTTAATGCTATCCTTGGAGAAGGACACCACGTCCCAGAGAAATCCCTTGGCACGACCACCCCCGACCATGCTGGTCACCCCAAGGGAACTCATCACACCCAAGAAAGCCTCTTCCTGGGAGTAACCCAGGGGCATAAGAAAAGTGTGTGAGTGGGGGTAGGGTGGCAGACCCCTCCCCCAGGTGAAACAGCTTCTTCCCCTCCAGGGCAGTCAGTTGGCATCCATTCAACTTTCCAAACTTTGGAGGCTTTTTCAGGGCTGGGGAGCAGAGGGGGAGTGGGGGGGTGGAGGCTTAAGCCAACGTGGGTGCGCGGGGAGGGGAATTGGTCCAATATAGGGATGGAACTGAGGTTTTCAGGGCTGGGGAGCAGAGGGGGAGTGGGGGGGTGGAGGCTTAAGCCAACGTGGGTGCGTGGGGAGGGGAATTGGTCCAATATAGGGATGGAACTGAGATGGCTGGCAGGGAGGCCTGGCCCGAAGCTGGCCCCTTCCCCACCCTCGAGAGCCTTCTGCGGCTTCAAAGGCTTGTTGGCACCGCCCTCTGACCATCGCCTCGGCCATCTCTCAGTGCCACCCCCGCCCCACCCACACCCTCCCAGCGCCCCCGAGTGTGCTCCGCGTCGCCCCCCTTGCCTGACTCGCTCTCTAGCTTCCCTCAACCTCTTCTCAAGGCCCGGATCCCCCCACCAGCATCCCCACTCTCAGCACCCTGGAGTCGGTACCCAAGCAGCAGGGACCCTGAAGCGGGGGAATCGAGGAGGCGAGGGTGACAGGCAGCTCACCCGCCCCCTACCCGCTCCGCAGCACTGCAGCCCAACTCCCGGCCAAGCGCCCGTCAATCATTAACCCGCGGAGATGGGGGGCGCGCAAGCACCCCTCTCCCCTCTGCGCCAGGCATATAACTAACCCCTTCCTCCCCGGCGCCCCTCGAGCCGACTCCGACAAGACACGCGGGAGCAGCCCCATTTCCTCGGGCCCGGCCACCAGGCCTCACCTGTGGGCTGGGGTCGAAGACCTCCATGGGGATCTCCTGGGAGGGTGGGTAAGGGCTCCGGGACATGCTGGTCTTCTGGACCATGGAGAGGAGCCTCCTCTCCGGCCGCCGGCCCGGCCTAGCCGGGCGCCCTCAGCACATGGGAGAGGCCGTCGGAGCCGAGAACAGCG